CTGGTGCTTCATGTTTCATTCAAACTGGAGTCACTCAGTTTCACACTTCGAGATGTCACCAATGATCAACCTCGTGCATGGAATTAGACTGGAGGTGACATTGCGACTGATCGGTGCAACTTAATCGAAACTAAATGAAATGGCAAACATTACATTGATCAATATTCAGTGATGGGTGAATTCCAACCATATCACACATATAAGAGGTGAACAATGACACGAATATCTCAGTAAGAACGCCACATTACATGAAGCTAGTTGAGTCGAGTTCTAATCTCACTCGCTGCATCAGTTCAATGAAGATGGTGTGTACAACTTATTACTAAGTGTGTTCAATCTGAATGACATTATGTAAATCAAATGTGAATGAGTGGATGTTTTACATTTCTGTGATTACTATAACTGTTCCAAATCAAACCAAAATGTTGTATGTAGTGTCATAAATAAAATGGAATTTAGTTTATTTCACACACATGTGAATTGCACATATATTGTTGATATATTCAACAAACAACTATCTCAGTATATTTTACATAATCTGGAGAACGAAGTGATTTGGTATCCACAGTTCTATCCTATCAGAATGGAAGATGTGAGGAGGTAGTAGTATGAAGTGGTTTGTGACGATTGTTGAATTTTCACAGTTAGCATTACAGACTGATACGATTTGGACAACTGTTGGAATCTCGTATGCAATGGATTATTGTTTAGTCCTTGTATTGAAACTCTCACAAGTACTTGTCTACTACCACACCATAAACAGTACCAAGGATGCGCTGAGGAGTGCCGAATTCGTATGGAATAGCTTGCTATTTTCAGTGGTTTTCTGACATCAGATAGTGATGCAAAACATATAAAACTAATGGTCTATTTAATATCTTAAATATTTCATCGACATGATTTATCATTATGAAATGATCATCTAAACAATAATGCGTATTCAACCAGATAACTAACCTGCAGCAAGTAGGTAAAACTCCTTGTCTTGTTTTTCTGTGAATGTGACAATGAAAATTAACGAAGTAAATTCATTTCCCTTTTGAACATGTTAATAAATAAATTATGTTCTGAAAACAATTACAAAAGTCATGCCAGTATCTGGGCATGATCATTTTGACACATGTAAGGTATACAATATGTTATGACTAATGGAATGAGGGTGACGTTTTTGAAGAAACGTAGTTCGTTAGTTGTTTTGCTGAGGAGCCCCACAATCAGTTTTCTACTGTGGTCTAGCTTCAATTGACTTATGATTTCAACTATATATAAATCAATTTTATTGATCAATAGTTTGAAACATTCATTCACTTAACAAGAGTGTGAGCACGTTACGTTGGTGAATAAATAGTGTAGAGTTGGACGATCCAATTTCAATTATATTTGATTTGAGTAATGGTTCACAAAGAATGTAGATATATTTCACTTATACTATTCGGTTTTTGACATTCTTCATATAAGGGGGTTTTCTGTGGAGATTTTAAGTAATTTATATATATAGTTGAAATCATTAGTCAATTGAAGCTAGACCACGTGAATTGGTTGAAGTTAAACATTAACACCGTTGGATTCCGTCTCAGTGGTCTATCAGTCAAGGGCACTGGCGAGAGACTGGTAGATCCTGGTTTCGAATCTCGCGAGGCGGGATCTTGGATGCGCACTGCTGAGGAGTCCCACAATAGGATGAAATGGCCGTCCAGTGCTCCCAGGTTTTCCGTGGTGGTCTAGCTTCAATTGATTCTCCATATAGTTTACGACTGTCAGTTCATGAATGACACATGATTTGTCATTTACTTTACTGTCGTCAAAGAATGAACTTTATAGTAATAAGTAAAGTATTCATTTGCATACTCTTAGATGATTGATGTATCATGAATGAGACATTGGAAATAAACTTTGAAAGTATTTGACTGAATAGCTGATGTGATGTCATGTTATCTATTTCACCAATCCAGAAACAAAAACAGAATAATGGAAAGATTCAAATTGACTTAAATTAACATCCTTCCAAAAGTGAGGATGTTCATTCGATTTTCAGTGTCAGTGTCTAACGGATCTGTGTATTCAGGATTTGACGGTGATTTGCTGCATATATTTTAGTGGTTTTGTGTTACAACTATCTGGAATGAGTACATCAGTTCAGTGTATCTCGAAACGTACAATAAATCGAATGTACCATTCTTTTAAGAAACATTCACTCATGAAATGAAGTGAAAGATGCCCGAAAATATTCAGTATCACACAGTGAATAGAGGATAATTGTCCATTCATATGCTCTCATTATCATGAACACTAATAAACAAATATTCTCAGACCAAAATCAAACTAATTATATTAACACACAAGCTGGTCACAACACAAAAGAATACATATGACTGTGATGAATAATTGTCATAAATATACCTACCCAAATTACTATTATTCTTCACGTCCAGATTGTCTGAATGATCTGTAAAGAAGGTAATCATTGGTTGAAATAATCAGTAGTTTTATGATAACTGAATAAATCAACGTATTTCTCAATATGTTTAACTCTTGGCAATGATCAGATTTTCTTTGGTCAGATCCTAGTTACCTTACTCATCCAATCATGTAGAGTGAAATTCACAATCCCTGTCGGACAAATGGTTTTCATGAATCAATTTATGGTCAATGTGCCAAAGTCACATTCATTTTAAGTGAACATTATCGGGAGCTTGTTCGGTTAAATATTCATTCTATCAAAGATTATATTACATGTAATCAAACTACAAACGGTTATGATTAAAAGTATTCATATTTTCTATCATTAGGGTACATGTATTCATCTAGATTATGTGAAGAACACACTCCTCCAGAATTTGTATATTCCTCAATAGACGGATATTCAGTGTCAGTGAGCATTCACGAACACTTCAGGGACGAATTGTGTTATGACACGGTAAGTCCATTTAACGGATTATGACGATCGAGATTTGTTTTCAGTGTGAATTATTGTTTAGCGTATCAACGTAGTTGAGATGAAGATTTAAAATTTGTAACCAAACAGAATTGACTCAGTCCATTTGAACGGTGAATAACAGTGCACTGTGAAATGTGAGACTCCTGAGACTCCATCTCAGTATTCATGATCAAACTGATTCAAGCGTTATTACATTATCCTTGACGATACTGTGCTGAAATAACCTCTAACGTGTTTAACGAGTATACAGTATGCAGTCTGCACTATGAATTTAATTAGTAAAAGAAAAATGAAATTCAGCATTGAGATCCTCTATTTCTACGAATTTTGCATCAAATTATGCAATGGTATGTATTTAATTAGTGTGGGATATTAACTCTGTGAGAAAGTAAGGGAATTGAATAAAGATGATGATGATGATGATGATGATGATGATGATGATGATGATGATGATGATGATGATGATGATGATGATGATGATGATGATGATGATGTAATGACAGGATTATTGTACTGGATTATCTAGTGTGAATACTAGGTAGGAGATATTGTGTAACACCTTCAGGATATGTTCAAAGACGAATTCACATACAGACTAATACTTAATTTGTTGGATAGAGAACCCGCCAGTGACCACTCAAAAAAACAAATGATATTATATGTCATATTAAACTTACTTTTATATATCTGTGGTAGAAAAATACATAAAATCATGAAACTAGTGACTGTTCAAGAAAAGAACGTATGATAGACGTAAGTATAAACTAACGCATTTTGGAAATCCTTATAACTATACGAGATTGTGATAAAGAGGAAATGGGTAGTGGACAACGATACACCTGACAAATGAATGATAACATTAGCTACACCTCCGATTTAAAACGATCGTTCGTCTTATATGATGGTTGTAAAGACAATGAAACTTGAAATGGATATTTGTGGAGAACTGTTCGCCCTGTGTTCAAGAATGAATATTACTAAGTATCTTAATGCTATAACGAAACATCCAACCACTGCCATCTTCTTGGAAAAGATTATCTAATTAACATCATTATACATCCTAAGCTATTCGATAAAAAGTGTTCAACATTACAATTTATAATTAATAATTTCAAATAACTTACAACTGTTCAGTGTTCGTTTTATTCGATGGTAAGATAAATAAAAGAGGGGAAATGGAAAACAGCAATCAATTATTCGTGTATATGTTTTAACCCATTCATTGCATTATGATATTAGTTTGATGAGAAAGACTAATGAGTTCCATAAATTGCCATTTTAATATCCTTATCCAATTTTCATGCATTTTAAATGAGTGTAGTGAGTAGTGTGTTATTCTTCTACGAAAAACAAACATAATCTTTATTTTCAATGACAATGAGATTGACTATTTTGATGATATGAAAGTATTTATTGTAGTAATCAACATTGTACTACACAATGTCAATAAAGACTTGTACTGTAGTCAACTTATTTTGTGTGCATCCCGATGAAAATCTCTGTACAGAATGTAGCCATTCAACTTTGGTACGTTTAATTAAAATCAGTAAGTATTAATATTTTAATAGTTGAGATCATGAGTCAACTGAAGCTAGATCACCATGGAAAATCTGGGAGCACTGGATGACTGTTTCGTCTCATTGTGAGACTCCTCAGCAGTGCGCATTCACGATTCCGTCTCGAGAGATTCGAATCCAGGACCTAACAGTTTCGCGCCAAAGCACTTAACCGATAGACCACTGAGCCGGCATCCAACGGTGTTAATGTCTAAACTAAATCTATTTGAACATACAATCATAAAATCTCTTAGTAAAATCTGAGAATCATACAGTAAATAACTCATTTGCAAAATGCTAAACACTTGTCTTATAATTTGTTGTTCCTTCGTTTCCATACTAATCACTGTCTATTCTTGTTCATTTCTCTTCGACTTTCTCAAATTTCTGCCATCAATCATTCCACTTTCGATTGATAAATACATACTACTTATATCTCTCGACATTAATAGCACACACCACAGTAGTAGTAGTAGTAGTAGCAGTAGTAGTAGTAGTAGTAGTAGTAGTAGTAGTAGTAGTAGTAATATAAATATTTGTTTAAATTAATGTAGTTATGTGGAATGCTAATGAAAATTTACCTAATTCAGATAAACCAAAACTACTTTCATGATATGTAGTCATAATAACATGTTCATCATTATGTAATTCTTCCATGAAATTAAAAATTTTCTCATTCACAGTTACAGTATACATTCGATGAAATCCTGATGAATCCTTCTTAAATATAATGATTAAATCTTCAGTTGAACAAATTTCATCTTCAATTTCCCATGTTAAATTAATAGATTTATCATTGATTCTTGTTAATGTACCATGTTGCACTCTGAAAACTTTAATCATAATGATCCAGAACAAAAAAATATATAGAGATCATAATAATTCAACTGAATAAGATCAATAAGATCGTAATATTGTATAAGCGAAGTGAACAAGAACACAAGTGGGGACAATCGAATATTATCTGAACACAAAATAACAGACTGTCTAAGTAAAGTCTGAGAACCATATAGTAAATACTTTATTTGTAAAATGTCAATCAAGCTCCAAAATGCCCTGGTATGGCCAAGAGTGGGGAGAGTCCGCTCTCCCTCTCCAAATGCTCTCATATGGCCACGCGTATATAGCCTCTCTCAGAGAAGTCCTAATCAATGCCTTTTCGTGGCACCGGTGTCGTACACGAAAATGAGAGGACGAAAAGCGAATGTCCGGTGCTTTTCCCGGGTTGGTGGACTCGGAAAGTCCATCTAGGGGAGTTGGAAAACCCTGATTCCAAACCAATGGTGTTCATGTGCACCAGTATTCTGAGGGGACAAATGGCGTTTGAACCAATTGTTCGTAACCGACTACCATGGGACTGCATCCTCTCACGATGCTCCACTACCTTGTGGATTCCACCTTTAGGTCGAAGGCTAGGGGTGTGGCCCCCTAAGAAAACCACCTGCTTTGGTCTGGGCATCCGGGCAGTATCATAGCCCCAATACAATTAAATGAAATGACAATTTTTCGTGTGGTGCATATATATCTGGTACCCCCTTGTACCAATGTTTATGTGTTCGAATAATAATAATAAATCATCTCAGACTTCATTGTTCCTTCATTTCCGAAGTAATCGTTCTTCGTTATCGTCGTCTTTTCTTCGATCTTCTTAACCTTCTGCTACCAGTTATTTCACTTTCGATTGATGATACATACTACTTATATCTGTGGACATCAGTAGCACACATCACATAATGACGTGATCTTATTATGTGAAATGCATCGGTCAACAAGATTCTGTAAGACATCAGTTGATGGAAACCATCGATAAAAATTGTCATATTTAAATTCACATTTAAACGACTAGAGAATTCTGATATCGTTAACTTCAGTTTATAAAGATGATCAATTAAACAATAATTTTTCAAATACATGACAGTAATTTTCCATATTTCTCATAAGTGATAATGGGAACAATGCCAGTTACGTTCAAAATGTTCAATCATATTTAGTCAATTTAAAAATAATCAAACTCACTTCGCTTAAAATTTAATTCTCTTAATTCTTTATCATAATAACCAACGATCGCCCGGCCTACTGATTGCCTAAGAGAGTACGTTTGAACTTCACACGCTGGACCAACAGTTTTTAACGTTGCCTCTTCTACATCATCTGGCATTTGTCGTGAAACACCATCCTCTAGTTCAAGAAATAGAGCACCGTAATATTCTCTTTTAAATGGATTCCATTGAAAGTATAAATATTCTTTGCTCTCTTGTAATAACCGGAACGTTGAATCTTCTGATTCTTCTACAGATATGAATAAAATGGTTCAAGTAAACATTTATGCAGCATATATATATATATCATTACGCAATGACAAGTATTGTAAATGGGGAATCACAGTTGTTTCATCCTAATATGAAAGAAATAGAGAGCGACCATGTTGTATGTGAGACAAGTATCTACGTCAGAAAATGGAATTTGGTAGTGCTATATTACTAAATAATTGAGGTTAGACGTGAAAATTATAAGATGTCTGTTTAGTTCTTGAAAGATAAGCAGTCAGTTACGAAGAATGACGGCGCTATGTTCGATCCATTGTGTTGTTGCCATGAATTCATCATGGTAGAGAATCTCAGGATGAAACAGTAGTTCAGTGTTTCCTGATTTTTGATAGTTATCAATGAATAATCAATTCATAATATATCAATTGTTCATCATCAATTGATCAATACGAAGAACATAGTGAACAGTTGAGATGTTTACAAATACAATTTAATGGATTTAGAAATATGGTTATTTTCATTGTGTAACTTACGTGGATTCTCATTACTGGATAGGTACGTATTTCCCATGAATTCACTAACTGTCTCTAGTATAACTACGGTTATAAAAGAATGAAAGAATATAGACCGAGATGGAAAGAAATAATATTGTGTAAGGTCAGATGAGAAATCACAATTGATGAATAGATATTGTTTGTCTGTGATGAATAACTGTCGAGATGCACTTTAAGAATTGTAATTGAATTCAACCGATCTGAAGTGATTTGACTTATCACTGTTTACGTTACGTACTGTAATGGATTGACTTCATCTTGTCATACATGTGTGATGATAGGATAATCTGGATGGTTTCATTTTGGTCACAAGTATTTAAAAAAAATCATACTTCCTAATGCTTAGTTGTGGTAGCCAGCATTTATATCTTGTCCAATTTCATTATATTCGCCATATATAGATGAACTAGCAATGAGTTCAAGTTTCAATGTGTAAGTCAACAATATTATACGGTTAACATTCAGTCAACTCTTACAATCATCAATAGTAATATGAGAGATAAGATGTCTATGAAAGATAAGTTCTAATGTGACATATTTCAATTAATGATTATATAGGAAACGCCGATTTGAATTTCATCCTTACATGAATGTGACTGATATCAAAAACGTAACGTTGTGATGATTATGTAATAATAGATAGATTTTATCAGAAGGGGTTTGTGTGGAGATTTAGTATTTTCATAGTTGAAAGCGTTAGTCGATTGAAGCTAGAAGACCATGAAAAACCTGGAAGCACTGGACGGCCGTTTCGTCCAGTTTATATATTTCATATTATTAATATAATGTTGGATTAAACGAAACCTACGTCCTTGATCCCAATGTTAGCCTCCATCCATCTCTTCTTAAAAAAAAGGCTTATGACTTAATAACAATATCAAGGTAATTTACACAGGTTATAGATATTGCCAAAATAGACTAATTCATTGGAATCTTAGATAACCATAGGAAGATTTAATCAACCAATGCAAATGAATTAAACATACAAATGGTTTCGAATACAGGATGAGGAAATAGCTCATACATATTTGAATGATAATATCTTTTACTTTCATGATCTAATCTAATCATCGCATCAACCTTAATTCATATAACCAATACATCTATGTAAATTTTATCTTTTCTTATTTTCCCCTTCAAACAACTTCTTCACAATATAACTACAAAGTTTGGTTCCAATATTTTAAAAAAAAAATAAGGGAGGGGGTTTCTAATCGGACAATAAAATATTTACACTTACTGCATGAAATAATAATGATAATAAATGGGTAATGGACATTATTGAGCTTCATATTTGAAATATTCATGAACGAGAATGTATCTATGATACGTGACAACCAGTAGTTTATATATTGGTTTCTATGTAGCATAAAAAACATACGATCGTTCGATGTTTCCTTTTTTCTTCTTGTAATTCTTATGAACTTACTGCCTAGAGAGATGAAACAATAGATTCTTTTCACAAAAGATGTAGATCAAACAATGATTAAAAGTTGTGTTTATTTTAATGAGAAAGCTGTATTGTTATTGCTTAGAATGACACAAGAATGAAGTAAATCATTAGATGAATAATTTTTTGTTTTTTTAAACAAAACCATATGCCTACACAGTGTTTGAGTTTATGTCTACTCTCAATGTAGGTGTATTTGTTATTGTGATTTTATCATTGAATGTAAATGAATAATCTCTTGTGATATTCAAGCCTTCTTTGACGATTGCCTTGTTCTAGATCCTATGATAGATTTTTATATCTTAAAGATGAAATATGGCTAGTAGTTGAATCCAAGACTCACGCTATATTTTTCTCTAATCCTTGTAGCATAATGATATGATCATATTTCAAGAGAGATTGATCAAATATAGTCTTTAGAATCAATGAGAATATTCAATCAACAATTACAAATGGAGTGAAATTCCTCCTTCCACTTCTTACAAGTCAGTGATTGTCTGAATTCAGTAGCTATGTAAGTAACGTGGTGGAGCAAACACGGACTCTAGAATTCGCGTATATTCAGGTGAAGAATCTTAACTTGGAAGAAACGCTAGTGCTAGGTCCCACTACTAGCCATCATCCAACTATCCTTACATACATAGTTATCGCACACTGAACATGAATGACAAAATAAAGGAAAATAGGTTATTTTAATCTCAAATATGGTATATTTTATTTTGAAGTGGTTTGTGTATCGTCTCGTTACAACATATTTGATAGGAAGAGGATTGACCATGGGATTAGCAACGCCATCTCATAGAAAAACACAACCTTACTAAAATATCTCTGACCAAAAGTATCGTTTATGCAAAGTGTTGGAAAGATGGAATCAATAGTCTCATGTTGAATGCTTTGTAATATGTGTTTTTTTTCGAACTTACGATGTCAAGAACAAGATGGAAGAGAGACAACTGAAGGTTAAGAACATCGGAAAATATGGGTAATGGGTCTTGAAGAGTACTTGAATTGACGACTTTTGAATACTCCGAATATCAAAGCAGAGTACACAGACTTCACCATAAGGTGACTCCCTACCATCAATAGATGATACCATCGAGGTCAAGGATGTCAAGGCATTAGACCAGTGCTATGATCCTCATTTCAAAACTCTATCATTTAGCTTCTTCCTCATCACACACAGTTTACTAGCTATTAATTGAAAATTCAGTTTCAACATTGTTATTAATCGGAAGTCAGTAAATAGTTTACCTTATATCTATCTGAAGAGAAATCACAATGGATTCATAATATTCTGTAAATATTTTCGTTCTCTTATTTTTTTTTAATTTGCGAAAGGAATCGATTGTATAAATTTTCTTAGACAATAATTCTCGGGTCAAACGAGCATATAACTCGACATCTTTAGACCATTACGATGCGAAATATTGAGAAAGATAATGAAAGTCAAATGTTATGATAACTGCATTCAAGCTGATTGTTATATACATCAACTCTTCGAATTGCTTCAATCTATTATACTTAACGTTTCTCTCAGAATTCTTCATCGCATCTTCAAATTTCATAATGGATCGTCTCATAGTCTTTGAACAACTAAAGGTCATTTTCAAAAAATAATTCGAAAAGCTTATCATAGGGTATCGTATGTTACTTACTTACTTACTTACGCCTGTTACTCCCAATAGAGCATAGGCCGCCGACCAGCTTTCTCCAACCCACTCTGTCCTGGGCTTCCTTTTCTAGTTCTATCCAGTTCTTGTTCATTCTTCTCATATCTGTCTCCATTTCTCGGAGTAATGTGTCCTTTGGTCTTCCTCTTCTACGTTGACCTTCAGGATTTCATGGGAGGGCTTGTCTTGTGACGCAATTAGCTGATTTCCTCAAGGTGTGCCCAATCCACTTCCAGCGCTTTCTCCTGATTTCTTCCTCCGCTGGAATCTGGTTTGTTGCCTCCCACAGTAACTTATTGCTGATAGTGTCTGGCCATCGGATCCGAAGTATTTTGCGTAGACAGCTGTTGATGAACACTTGTGTCTTCTGGATAATAGCTTTCGTATTTCTCCACGTCTCCGCCCCATACAGTAGAACTGTCTTCACATTTGTATTGAAAATTCTAACCTTGGTGTTGGTTGACAATTGTTTTGAGCTCCAGATGTTTTTCAGTTGTAGGTATGGTGCTCTTGCTTTGCCGATCCGCGCCCTCACATCTGCATCTGATCCACCGTGTTCATCAATGATGCTGCACAGATATGTAAAGGTTTCCACATCCTCCAAAGCTTCTCCGTCAAGTGTAATTTGATTGGTGCATATTGTATTGTATCGGAGAGTCTTGCTTTTCTCTTTGTTTATATTGAGACCTACTGCTGCTGAGGCTGCTGCTAAACTGGTCGTTTTCTTCTGCATTTGTTGTTGCGTTTGTGATAGAAGAGCCAGATCATCCGCGAAATCTAAATCGTCAAGCTGCATCCTGCTTGTCCACTGTATTCCGTGATTTCCTCCAGATGTTGACGTCTTCATGATCCAGTCGATGACCAGGAGAAAGAGAAAGGGTGAGAGTAAGCAACCTTGCCTAACACCGGTCTTTACTTCAAACGAGTCGGTGAGTTGTCCTCCGTGGACGATTTTGCAGTTTAGTCCATCATAGGAGTTCCGTATGGTATTTACTATTTCTCAGGCACGCAGTAGTGTCGAAGAAGCCTCCATAGTGTCGTCCTGTCCACGCTGTCAAATGCCTTCTCGTAGTCAATGAAGTTGATGTAGAGTGATGAATTCCATTCGACTGATTGTTCCACAATGATACGTAGAGTTGCGATTTGATCTGTGCACGATCTATCCTTACGAAATCCAGCTTGTTGATCTCGAAGTTGGGCGTCCACGGAATCCTTCATCCTGTTTAACAATACTCGGTTGAAGACTTTCCCTGGTATTGAGAGAAGAGTGATGCCCCTTTAGTTGTCGCACTTGCTCAGATCACCTTTCTTTGGTATCTTGATCAGAAGTCCTTTTTTCCAGTCTGTTGGTACTTGTTCTCCGTCCCAAATCTTACTGAAGAGGATGTGGTGTATCTTGGCAGTTGCTGTTACATTTGCTTTCAGTGCCTCTGCCGGGATGTTGTCTGGTCCCGCTGCTTTGACACTCTTTACTTGTCTAATGGCCATGCTGATCTCTTCAATTGTTGGTGGGCCAATATCGATTGGGAGGTCCGTGGGTGCTGCTTCGATGTTGGGTGGGTTCAGTGGAGCTGGTCGATCCAAGAGTTCTTTGAAGTGTTCTACCCACCTGTTTCGTTGTTCTTCAATGTCGGTGATTACTTTGCCTTCCTTGCTCTTCACTGGTCTTTCTGGCTTACGGTAATTTCCAGCAAGTTTCTTTGTTGTATCATACAATTGTCTCATGTTTCCCTCTCTTGCAGCCTTTTCCTCTGTCTTTGCTAAATCTTCCACATATTTACGTTTGTCGGTCCTGATGCTCCTCTTCACTTGCTTGTTTGCCTCTGTGTATTTGGCTTGTGCCTTGGCTTTTTCCGCTCTGGTTCGGCTGATATTGATTGCTGCCTTCTTGTTCCACCTTGCTTCAATCTTATCCAGTGTACCAACAGTGATCCATTCCTTGTGATGGTGCTTCTTTTGGCCCAGAACCTCCTGACATGTTGAAATGATTGCCTCCTTGATACCTTTCCAGTTGCTCTCCATGGTAGTCCCCTCTACATTGAGTAGGTCATGAAAGGCCTCCAACCTGTTGCTGAGGGCTATGTTGAATTTGTTGAGTTTGTCAGCATCTCGAAGAAAGGCCGTATTAAACTTTTGTGATGTTGTCCGCGCCGTTGTCCACTGCCTCTTGAGTTTTAGTTTGATCTTGGCGACCAGCAAATGATGATCGGATGCTATATCAGCTCCTCTTCTGGTTCTCACATCCTCCATCGTCCTCCTGAACTTTTTGTTGATGCAGATATGGTCGATTTGATTCTGTGTAGGGTGATCCGGTGAAATCCAAGTGGCTTTGTGTATGTTTTTGTGTGAGAATATGGTGCCACCTACGACCAGTTTATTGAAGGCACATAGGTTTGCAAATCTCTCACCATTTTCGTTCCTTCCTCCCAGTCCATGTTGTCCCATGACGTCTTCGTATCCAGTGTTGTCCATTCCAACCTTAGCATTGACATCTCCCATCAGAATTGTCAGGTCCTTGGTTGGGCACTTCTCGACGATCAACTGCAATCTGTAGTAGAATTGGTCTTTAGCGTCTTCATCGTAGTCATTGGTAGGCGCATAGCATTGGATGACGTTCATTGTAATGCCCTCTCTTTTTGTTCTGAAGGAGGCTTTGATGATCCTTGGTCCATGAGATTCCCATCCTATAAGTGCATTTTGTGCTTTTCTGGACAGCATCAATGCAACTCCTTGTGTATGTGGGGCATTTTCTTCTTCATGACCGGAGTATAACAGAAGTTCTCCTGAAGACAGTCGTTGTTGTCCAACATGCGTCCAATGTGTTTCGCTGATTCCAAGAACCTCCAGGTTGTATTTTCTCATTTCTGCAGCAATTTGGAAGACTCTTCCGGTCTCCCACATTGTCCGGACATTCCATGTACCTATAAAAATTGTCGCTCTGGTTGTAAGAAGGTGCATCGGCCTCATGACTTCCGAAGGAACTCGGCTTTCATCATGAGACGTCATAATTATTCCTTCTACTCCCAGGGCAGAGTTTGAAAGGTTTGAATGATTTTTTCTGGTTAGCGTTTTTTTAGCGAGTTGATTTTCTACGGTATGGGGTCGCTAACCCCATGCCCAACCCTCCTCCTTTACCCGGGCTTGGGACCGGCAGTAACCCCCAGAGGAGCTAAAGGCGGAGTTGTAT